CTACATTCTTTCTCTGTGTGATTTGCTGTCGAACTTTTAGCAACTCCGTAACTTTCCAACTGAATCCTTTCTATCGGAGTTCGAGAAGGATGTAAGTTGGAAATGAAAATAAATGCATACCAGTAGCACTGAGTGATCTTTCAAAGTCTTACTTATGTAATGTTAACTGTGGCTACAGTTGAAACTTGGCCTTGGGCCATAACATCATATTGTTGACTCATGTTCAGTTTACTATCCATTAGAATTTCCCAAACACTTATAGGGAATGCTACAGTATACCCAGATATATTTTTCTTTTTTCTTTCTTTTCTTTTTTCAACGATCTTTATTGAAACTTAACATATAAACATCATAACCAAAATTCCCAATGATTCCCTCACATAAAATATAATATCTAAATTCCAACAGCCACATAATTATACACTTAATTTTAAAACCCATACCCATCCTCTATTCCATCCACAGCAATTTGACTTCTTTATATTTCTTTCTACCTTTTCCCCCTTGCATTCTATAATAAATTATTTTTGTTAAATTCTGATTTTTCCTTCTTTATTGGTTTTGTTATTGCTTACATTTTTTATTCTAAGCCTATTAGCATGTCATTTTTAGAACAATATTTTGACGTATAATCTTCGAAATACTTCCACTCCATTCTTAACTTTTGATTTGATTGATAGCTTATAATTGAAGTTAACTTTGCCAATTCTATATACTCACTTAATTTACAAACCAGTTAACACCAGATATATTTTTTCTTGTTTAAGAAACGCTTCACATTCTTCTCTGCTAGCTCCTGTTTTTCACCCTACTGGGGCTGGAAATCTTAAGTACAGTGGTACCTCGGGTTAAGTACTTAATTCGTTCCGGAGGTCCGTTCTTAACCTGAAACTGTTCTTAACCTGAAGCACCACTTTAGCTAATGGGGCGTCTTGCTGCCACCGCACCGCCGAAGCACGGTTTCTGTTCTCATCCTGATGCAAAGTTCTTAACCCGAGGTACTATTTTTGGGTTAGCGGAGTATGTAACCTGAAGCGTATGTAACCCGAGGTACCACTGTACCATTGCAGCTGAGAGGAGGGAGTTGTTAAAGGAGGCCCAACATTTTTCTGAGTGTGCATTCCTAGTGGCAGCCTCCTCAACCCATTCCTGAACTGCTGAAATGGTTCTCCTGCTCCATGGTTCCCCTTCCTGCTGCTTCTCCTAGGTCCTGGATACAGTAGGTTCCAGTTGGGAAGGAGCGAAGTCACCATTGCTTACCATTATCCCACCATGCCTAGGAAGAGCTGATAAAGGATCTTGACTGAAACCATAGAGAGCTGTAACCAGTCAGCACAGAGAATACTGCCCTAGTTTAAATGCAGTGCTTTTTTCGGGGGGGGGGAGACGCAGGGGTACGCATACCCCTAAACATTTTGTTAATCTAAGTTTGGCCTCATCGAGGGGCAGTATTTCAATATGAGTAGGAAAATGAGAGTATCCCTAAACATTTTTTATGGGGGAAAAGCACCGCTTAAATGATTTTGGTTTCATTTACACACTTTCCTGTGTTCTTCCTCCTCTTTGAAAGGGCCATGAGGCCTTGGTTCTTTTTCTGTCACAGGGAATAAGGCTCCACCATGTGTGCTTATAATTACCCAGTAAACTTTAACTTGATTTCCTGGGGAATTCTGGTTGTCTGTCTGATCTGCGACTATTGGGGAATAGAATTATTTATAACTCTGAAGTTCCACTATGATTTTTTATGTGGTGTGACTCAAAGATTGTAATATCATTTTTCAGTGGTATTTCCAATAAAACTGTATTATTCTTTTTTAAAAAAATACTGTATGCATTAGGTTGGTTTTTTTAAAATAAAAAATTCAAACAAGTTCCATATTGAGTGGCTTTGCATCCCAGCTGTGGCTGACTTTGGTTATCTGACTTCAGCATCATTGTGTGTTTTGAGATTCTGTGTGGAATCCGTTGCCTCATGAAATAAGTGTCTGCCTGAGGGAAGATTACTATTGTCAAGTTTCTTCTTCAGGTTAGCAGGACTGCTGTTTGGATAGTTTCATTGGGCCCCATAAAGGGGGCATCTGCAAGAAGGTGGGTCATTAAATGACACTGACCCATCAGCCTGGGAAGCTGGCATGCAGATGCACCCTCTGAAATCTGGTATGCATTCTCTGGTGCTGCAATGCAGTGTGCCCTTAAGTTGCCACACTGTCTGAGCTCTTACTCCCCCTCCCCATGCCTATTTGATGGGGGTATGCTTTGCATTAAGATCAGCTAGCGTGAATTTTTTTTAATGCTCTCTTTAGAGTTATTTAAGATTTTGGGATTGTACAAAGCTGCATTAACTATTCTCAGCAGCCCAAGTTGAGTACCAAAACCTAGATTAGGGTGGTGTGGGTTTCTTTTTTCGTAATTAAAGATTCCATCCCAAAGCTAGTATTGAGAAAAATGAAATTTCTGAGTTCACAGTATGATGCTCATACCAACATAAAGGCTTCCTAGTGAGACTGCGACTTGCTTTATGTTTTGCTTTAAATACTTTGTGTTCTGCATGGTGTTCTTTTGGCTTTCAGAGGATTTGTGCTGTTTCTGTTTAGGAACAGTCTTCGCAGCTTTTTGGCCCTGGATCTGCAGACATTCTCTTCAACCGTCTGTCTGTTTGTTCAGAAAACTAATGGGGCAAAGAATCTTGGCCACCAATGGCTGCTAAGGTCTCTGTGGCTGTTTCTTCTGTTTTGCTATGAAGATGAATCATTTTCCTGAAGATAAAAATTTTCATCAAACCCAGTGTATAATTTGTAGGTAATAACACCTGCAGAAATCCCAAGCCAAAATTATAGACAGGGGGTTCGAATATAAGCTTTTAACCGGGGACATATAGTGATTTCTGAAGCCGGAAAATAAAAATATATATCATTAACCCTGCTCATATCATATGCGGATATGGATGTAAGATTCTGTGGCAGAAATAGGCCTGTATTGTCACTTACAAAAGAAGTAACATAGATAGAAACCTAGGAGCCAGCTCCTAGTTGCTGAGGTCCATTGGCCCCCCAATAAAATAATTGACCCCCCCCCAAAAAAGGTTCATGGGCGTTGCCATTCAAATGGTGTGTGTGCCTTGTGCCTTGTGATCAATTATGCAGAGTGGGGCTTATATGCCCCCCCTATTTTATTCAAGTTGGTACCACTGGACAGAAAAAGAACTAAGCTCTAAACTGCAGCAATTGTTGGTAGGATTTCTTCCTAGGCTTCTGTTTTGAAGAAGAACGAACAGACTGAACAGCTCCCAGGTATACATATTTGTGCGTCGAAGTCCCCTAGACCACCCCAATAACTCACACTTCACACATCAATTTTTGTTTAAGGTTTTTGGCATGAATTTGGCCACAAATTTATTTAAATACACACACGTGAGTGGTTGCTTAGGCATTGGTTACGATTATCTGTCCTTGCCCCAGGGACAGAACTGACTTCCGGATTCCAGTGGAAGCCAGTCAGGGGGGACAGCACTGACTTCCGGATTCTGACTTCCTTCCAGTGAGGGAAACAATTTTGGGGAGAAAATGAAGCTGGGCCTCAGTCCCTCACTTCTCACCCTCATGCTCCTGGTGGCTTGCATGGCCCAAGTCCGATGCCAGGGACAAGGACGAAAAGAATGGCAAGCCCCTGGATTCCTTTAATGGAATTCCCTTTCCGCACCACCATTGGAGGGGTAGGCACTTACCCCTCCACCAACCAATTTGAACCAATGCCTAACCGCCAACCTTACAAGTTGTGACAATTTGCTACGCAGTAGGCAAAAACTAAATGGTAACAGCCAATCAGCCAAATGGACAAAATTCCTACCAGGCCCCTGCCCCAAGGCAGACGACCCCATGACAGGCATAGCAAGGTCAGAGCACAATGAAATCCCACCCCCTTATTAGGGAGGGTGGGCGGGTGATCTGGTGCACGCAGCCCAAGAGAAGGCCCCAGGTTGCGAGCCCTGTATTTAAGACCTCTGACCCCTCCCACACTTTAGCAACATAACATTCTCCCCAGCAACACTCCTTACCCAATCACAGCATGTGGCCAATTTGCCCAACAACAGTGGGGTGGCTTTTTTGGCCCCCACCGCAACACGTGCTCTCTATTATGGAGAACACGCTTTGTAAGGTGTGGTGCTAAGTATTCAGGTGAAACTGGTGAGCTGACCCCATTCTTCTCAAAAATGCAGATGCGGCCTCTGGTGTTTCTGCAAAAGTGGCAGTCCTTGACTTGACTGTAGCACATTTTGGCTGTGTGGAGATTATTGTGCCTCTGTACTAAGGGGCAGACGGCTCATTCTGTCCCTTCACCCCTTCTGTAGGCCAGCTCACAACTCCTGTATCTTCAAAGTCATTCCAGAAGCCATGGAAATTGGCTTAATTTCAATGCATACTAAAGTCAACAGAGGCCTGAAATTATGTGTACAACTCACATGCACACTCTCAACACACGTTGCAGACCAATTGAATACACAACTCAAAGGACTGTTGCTTTTTCCTTGATAGTAAAGAGGACACAGGATGCTTTCTATTTTCAGGAGGGATTCAGTAGCATCCCAACAAAGTGTGGAATAACGCTTCCTTGATACAGCATCATCTAGCCTCCTCACCTCCAAGCAAACTACAATGAAGCTCATTAAATTGCCAAAGTAATCTAATCTTACTGCAAGCAAAGCAGGGTGGATGCTCGATCAACAGGTTGTCGGGATGCTCCCACAAATGATGTGCCTGAATTGGGCTCCTTTTTGAACAGAGGCTGCAGTACATGTAATCCTGGATATGATGGCGTTTCCTTAATTTAGTTGATGCAGTCATAAATGCAGTCAGACGCTGAGCCCTTGAAGTGTACAGAAAGGCTGGACATTTTACTTCTTACGAGCTGCATCACTTTGCTTGTTAGAAATATCTTTGGCGCTGTTTGTTGATGCTCTCACTGAGGATGTTTGTTTTTAATTTATTCTTTTCTTGCAACAGATTCCAACTTACAGATCTGCCAGCACAAAGTGCAAACATGTTGCACTAGAAAGATGGAAGAAAGCTATCAAGTAGCAGTTCGGAGAGAAAGGATGGAGAACATCCAGACTCTAAATTTTGAACTGAAATATATGATTGTCGGTCACATCACAGCTTTTCAAGGTAGGAATATTAAGAAAACTGTGAAGCAACTTCTTCCCTGTGCCAATAAATGCATAAGAACATGCTTGCTGGCTCGACCGATGGACCATCTAGTCAGGCAGCCACGTTCCAGTCACAGCCAGCCACATGCTTCTAGGAAGCTTACAATCAGCGTATGAAAGCAACACTGTGATGCTGTGTATATGTAATAACATTAGAGTAATATGTGTTAAATGTAGGTAAGTATAATACAGTCAAGGCTTGGTTCTCGAACGCCTTGGTACTCATATGTTTTGGCTCCCGAACGCCAAAAACCCAGAAGTGTTCCGGTTTTTGAACGTTTTTCGGAAACCGAATGTCCGACGCGGCTTCCGCTTGAGTGCAGGAAGCTCTTGCAGCCGATTGGAAGCCGTGCCTTGGTTTTCAAATGTTTCGGAAGTTGAACAGACTTCCAAAACATTCTTGCAAAATTCGAGAACCAAGGTATGTGAATTGGGGTAAGTGGTTGGGAAGAGTGTGTGTACTTGGGATGGTAGACATGAGTGGCGATTGGGTAAAATTTTGAAAAGGAGTTTGAATATTGGTGGTAGACAGTTGAGAGGATCAGTCAAGAGTTATGAGCCATTGGGGTTGGGGAAAGAGTGTGTTTGGACGGTGGCAGGGTTATTTGGATAGAGTAGGGTCAGCATTGTTCTTAGTCATTGTATATATGAACTAAAGTAACTAAGAAGAAAGTTCAAAATTAAAGCCATATGTTTCTGTACTCTGAATGATAATACAGTGGTACCTTGGTTCTCAAACTTAATCTGTTCCGGAAGTCTGTTCTAAAACCAAAGCGTTCCAAAACCAAGGCATGCTTTCCCATAGAAAGTAATGCAAAATGGATTAATCCATTCCAGACTTTTAAAAACAACCCCTAAAAGAGCAATTTAACATGAATTTTACTATCTAACGAGACCATTGATCCATAAAATGGAAGCAATAATCAATGTACTGTACTATAAAATAAATAAGACAGTATTGTAGATGATAAAAATTAAAATTAGTTTTTTCCCTTACCTGCACTGATGATAGTCATTGTTTGGATGGGGGGCTTTTATCCATTTTCGCAGTCACACAATCAATCAATCAGTAGCTGAACTGGGTTCCACACAGTCACAAAAACAAATTAACCCAAAAAGCCTCAAAAATGTGAAATAAGTAGCAAAAACAAAAGCACCAAACTTAATCCGTTCCGGATTAAGTCCGTTTGACTTGTGAAATGTTTGAAAACCAAGGCGCAGCTTCTGATTGGTGCAGGCGCCCTGGAAACAATAGTCGACAGCCACATCAGGCATTTAGCTTCAGAAAAACATTCGAAAACTGAAACACTTACTTCCAGGTTTTTGGCGTTTGAGAACCAAGGTACCACTGTAAAACCTTTTATTATTTCTGTTCATATAATAATTATAATATAATATAATATAATATAATAATAATATAGTAATGTTATACCATGCGCACATGCCTCCTGGCTGGCTACAACTGAGGTGGGAAGATATTCAGGTACATAGTATCTGTAGTGGCAGCAGAACCAATGGGAGTTTAGAAATATCTACCAGAAACCTGGCTCAGGGCAGTATACCTTATAGAAAGAGAAGGTGGTAGAGGAAAGTTGTGGTGAATATGAGGGTGGTGCCAGGAACTTAATTCCCATTCAGTTTACCTGGCAGTTATGGAAACTTTTTTCAGGTGTAGTTCCAAGACTTATCAACTGCTTCAGTTAACTTCACTAAACCAAACCATTTTATTGCAAGCGCTGGTATTATGATGCATGACAGACTGTTGATTTTTGGACAGAAGTGCATCCAGATATGAGCTGCACCAATATGCCCAAAACATTTTCAAGGAGTCATTCCTTTTAATGTGCTCTTGTACTCATTGCCTATTGACATTAGGTACACACCTTCACTTTACTGTTTTGGGTACCTGATGAGCTAAAATAATGCCTGTTTCATCAAGCCTATCCAGACGCATGATAATAGTTTTAAGTATTTTGTTTTTAAATGTTTTGTTTGTGTTATCTTGGTTTTTAATGATGGTTTTATATATATTTTTGTGTGTGCCTCTTAGACATTAAAAAATAAAAATGGATTTGTACACCTCTTTTTCTACATAAACTAATAGTGCAGCATTGTTCACCCCCACCCCCTGGCCCGATTTGCGCAAATATGTGTTCTAATATTTCCTTACCAATACTGGAAATCAAGAAATGCTGGTGTGAAGCTATGTAAGGCAAGACGGACATGACTGAGGCAACAGCTCCCTCTGTCCTGTTTTTCTCCAGCGTTAATAGTATATTTTGTAATAGAATTTCTATTTGGATGGCAGAAATGTGCTTTTGCTGTTGGCTACTGTGACAGGAGAAAGGGTGGGGGAGCAATTTGTTCTATTTCACAGTCTTGAAGGAAAAGGCCTTAGTATCCCACACGGTTTTGAAAATCTGGCACCAAGTCACATTTGAGCCCTCTGCTGTGCCGAAGGGGAAATATGGAGCCATTGTTGAATGACAGTGAGTTATTCAAGTGATCTTTCAGCATCATTATAGAATAAAGCAAAGGTCAGAATAGATTAACCTGTCAGGCCCTGAGGTCAGCCAAGCCGCTTTATTGCTTGACTGAGTGAAATCAGTCATTAGACATTTCAAAGTAGCTTGGATTTACAAGCGTTTTCCAGAAATGGCTACCTAAATTATTGTATTGTGAGTGGTTATAAACTTGCTTTGTCCACCTTAGGTGAGAACACGCCAGAATTTTCAGCTTTGGCCTCTTAAAAGCCTCAAAGGCTCATTTGTTCGTTTTGGTTTGTGTGAGGTTTCAAAAGGCTCTCTAAATCTTTTCTTCAGATGACACTGTATAAACATTCTGTTGCTCAAGCAGGGGCGCCTTTTGGATTTTTTTTATCCTGAAATAGTTTTCCCTGCATTGAGTTTGGTTTATTCTTGCATGGTATCATTATAAAACATTAAAGGCTGCATGCCTCAGACTGGTCAGAGGACATAAGCTTCATTCACTTTTTTCATTAGACTTCTGCTGCTTGGAACCATTGAAGAATGGGCTGAATATCAAATTAGTCAATTCAAAATCTGAACAATATGCAATATTTTCAGCAACAAATGAGCCACTCTTTGATTTCTTTCTTTTCTTTTTGGCTTCTCACATTCTATAGATACAAATATTCTCATTAAAAGTAATGTTCTACTGCAGCACTTTTAAAAAACGAAACAAAACCTGCCAAATTTGTTCAGTGTTGTTTTATGGTCTTCAGTTGGATAATATATCACTTTTAAAAATGCAGCCTGGTAGATTTATTTCTTTATATAGAGATTTTCTGTCCCACCCAGCACACCATTCAAGAATTAAATATCACCATTTCCTAAAATGCAGCCAGGAGCTCAGTACCTGCCCCATACCTGATGCCACGTATGATTTTGTGGTTTAGGGGAAATGGCCTTGTGGGCTGGAGTGGAGAGGCCTGGCAGGCAGAATTTGGCCCGTGGATAGTGGTTCTCTAACCCTGCCTTAAAAACTCAAATAATCATAGTACTCCAAAGACCATCTTAAAAAGCATGACTGTGAATTTAAATACAAGCACCAACAAAGCCCTGTTGTCCACCAGGCAAGCCTGGTCTGATCTGGTCAAGCGAGAGTGTCCCTCCCTTTGATATTCAGGCAATGGGACTGGCTCATCCAAAGACGTGACAAGAGATCTGAAACAGGAAGACACAACCACTGGGCGCCAAGAGCAATATGATAGTTTCAGTGGATACTTCCCACCCATTTGATGTCAGTCCAAGGCCAGAATATCTTTGGACAGAGGCAGCTCCTTGATTTATTTTTTTAATGATTTGGAAAGTGACAGTTCCTTTAGTGATGAACTGTGTGCTCTTGGCAACTTGTGTTTTGTGTCCTCGGTGCATGTTGTTATTAACTTCCTTGGGCTGTGTACACACCATACATTTAAAGCATGTGACTTCTCCCAAAGGAGCACAGGAACTATAGTTTCTTAAGGGTGAGCTACAGTTCCCAGGATCCTTTGTGCTTTAAATGTATTGTGTGTATGCGGCCCAAGCGCAAGGAGATTAAATGAGCTGGCTAAAGAGCCAAATAATGAAATCTCTCAATGGGTTAAATGGTCAAAACAATCTGCCTTGTGTAAGATAGCTAAGCCTGCACGCTGTGCATTCAAAAATAAAGCTGAAACATTGCCCAAGATTACAGAATTCTGAAGGCAAGCATTAATTTGACATTGGGATTTCCACTGGTGCATAACCTTGGCTTAATTTGGCTGCTGCTTTTGAATCCAATCTGAGCTCTGTGCTCAGCATCTTGAGAATTCCATTTTAAATAAACAAAGAAATGGATATCCTTCTCTCTGTGGGATGGCTCAATCCTGTGTAATTAATCACGGTGGACCAATAGGTTGATCCTTGCAATGCTTTTCTGTCCTGCTGAAGTGAACGAAAGGTAGTGCTCTAAGGACTGTGCTGTAAGAGTGTTAATTGAAAGACTTGGGTACCGGCTTAAAAACCTTAAAGGAAAGTGCAATCGCCAGCCGACCTTTATTAAAATAGCTTGACATAATACTTTTCTTAGAAAAACGCGGACTTACAAACACCTTTTTTAATACTTTCACCTATAAGGACTTAGTTTTTAAGCTATATTTTGGAGGTTATTTCAATAGTCTTGCCATTAGGGCTGAAATGGGATAATTTTAACAGCTGCCAGATTCGCATAGAATGATTAGTATATAAGGCTACATTAAATTCATCACATCTGCACATAGATATTGTTGTTCTTGGCATCCTGCCCATTTCATACATGTGGTTAGGCTTAGTGCTGCCGCCGAATTCTCTGTTTTAATAAAAAGATTTGCAATATTAGCAAACCATTGCTGGGGCACACACTTAATAAATCAGTTGCATTCTAAAAATATTTTTAGTTTTGACTTGCATTTACTAGTTGCTGTGTCAACTGCCTTTA